GTCTAAGCCAGGAAATTTGGAGGACAGTTGCCTGGCAGATTGCTATTGAAGCAGCAAAGTGACCAGGACAGGACTTAATTGTTGCTAAGGACAGGAGCCCAGAATCACTAGTCTAGCATTGAGAGAACCTGAACATTTAAGTAAAATAAGAGCAGAGCCTTCAGGCAGGGTAGGGTAAATGTAGAAAGAAACATAGAGCCACCTAAGGTGAGGATAAAAACTAAAATTTCAAATCACGTGAGGGAAATCTCATGTTAAAAGAGGCACAAAATACACTTCTAAATAATAGAATTCATTTCTAAAAAACAATTTAAAGATAGTTGAAGAATCCAAAAGAGTTTGCAAAGTCATATTTTCTTAAAAGGGATATCTCAAAGACATGAAAACTCAAAACACGTTGCTGACCAGTCAGAACCAACTCGTAGCTCTTTTAATGCAAAGTTTATATCTATGCACAGTCCAATTCAAAGTTTGTTCCAAAATCGACTTTTCTGATATTACTAGAGCCACTCCCATTTCTTTTAATTAGTATTGGTATAGCATATTCTTTCTCAATATTTTAAAATTTATGTTTTGCTTTACTTTCTAGTTACTGTGGGCTTCCTGTAAGTTGCAAAACTTGGATCTTGCTTCACCTCTCACTACCTCCTTCTCTTAACTGTGATAACTAATAATCTTATTTTGTTTTGATTAATTAATCTACTCTAATATTCCATACAAATAAATAATAATAACAATTTTGTCATTTTATTTAGGGCTTATTTTACTTAACTTCTTTTTCTAAGATTTTCCCATGCAGTGGTGTATTTCAGAACTTCATTTCTTTTTATAGCTCTATTGTGTGTAGGGAGCTCTGGTGGCCTAGTGGCAAGAAGCTGTGTTGCAATCCCAAAGCACGTGGTAGAAGGATAGGCAGTCTCCTATCTTGTGACTAACTGCTTCTGAAAACCTGCCAGTGGGTCAGCTATGGGTCAGTTCTGAATCATCGGTACATAACAACAATACTGTGTGTATAGGCCTTGGTACACAACAACATTGTGTGTATATGTACCACACTTTATCTACTCACCATTTAGCATATTCTGTCTTTTAAGAAATTGTAAATAACAAGGCAATGAGCACTTCTTTACATGTATCTGTTTGAGCTTCTACTTTCAATATTTTTTGGGACAAAATCTAGTGGGATTTCTTGCTCATATTGTAATTCTATATTTAACTTTTTAAAAAAACAACCTGTTTTCCACCGTGATTGCACTGTTTTACAATTCCATCAACAGTGTATAAGTATTCCTGTATTTCCAAATCCTTTCTAACACTTGTTCTGTTTTAAGGAAAAAGAAAAAGATTCACCATCTGTTGTTGTTAGGTGCATCAAGGCAGCTCTAACTCATGATGACTCTATGTACAACAGAATAAAACACCATTCAGTTTAGCGGCATCTTCACAATCACTGCTGTGCTTCAGCTGGTTGTTGTCACCACTGTCAAGTCATCTCATTAATATCTTTCTCTTTTTACACTGATCTTCTACCCAGCATGATGTCTTTTCCTAGGGACTGAGCCCTCCTGATATTCTCAAAACATGTGAGATGAAACCTCACGATTTTTACATTCTCACTTCTAAGGAACTCTCCAGCTGTACTTCTAGAGATTGGAAAGTTGTATCTTACTGAGATTATAAAATACCTCTACTTTCCCAATGACTAGCATACACACCCGTTGTGGCAGAAAACAGAATAGCAAGGAATTTGGGGTTGGCTGTTGGATCAGATTATGTGAACCTCAAAACAGTCTTAGTCATAAGAGTGGAAATTTGTAGCTCTAACTTGAGCCCTGCCTCCCGGAGTATGGTAGGAAAGATCCTGGAAGTTGACCTCTAAAGATTATTTCAGTTATCAAACTATCACTAGCTTATGGCTTTGGACAAGTTGCAGTTTTATCTCTCTGAATTCAAGTTTTTAATCTAAATATTAGGCATCCTAGTACCTTCTTTATAGTGTAGAGAATAAAATGACAAGAATGGATGTCAAAAGTATTGGTAAGTTATTCATTCTTTCTTCTCATAATCATGCTCGTTATTCTCTAATGAGGGAAAAAAATAACAAATTAAGGTTTGATCATTAGATAAACATGCAAAATGATCATACATCTATTTACTTCCACAAAGCAAGTTAGACTTTCTGACCTGCTGGATGGTGTTCCAATGGGCTCCTGAAATTCCTTTTCAGCTAAAGAAGAATATTTTTATTACTTTGGAAAATATTTTATTTCCTCTGAGTGCACTGGAAATGTATCTGAATCCAATAGCCAAGCTAAACTAAACTCCTTTTGAAGATAATTATTTATATAAAAGTAATGAAACGTCCACAAAACAAAACTATCTATTTAGAACTATTGTTGTTGTGTACCATCAAGTCAGAACGAACCCTTAGCTGACCCTCCAGAGGGTTTTCAGAGGCACTTAATCACACAGGAGGAGATTATACTAACACAGAATTTACTTTTTTCATAAGACCACCTTATCTTTCAATAACTGCCACTAAAAAAAAAAATAGCTATTTTTCAACCCATTTACAATCTCAGAATCTCAATGTACCTCTTCTAAATCCAGCTTGACCTTCTGGCAGTTGTCACTGTACTATGCTGGTTTTGAATTATTTTCAGCAATATTTTATTTCCATATGATTTTAATGATATTGTTTGATATCTCCACATTCAGTTGGGTTACCTTTCTTGAGAATGGGAACAAATAAGAATCTTTTCCAGTCAGTTGACCAGGCAGCTATCCTCCACATTTTCTGACCTGAAGTTACTAGAACAGTACACAGATAGAGAAATTCCAGAAGTTTAAGCTAAGTTTAGAAGGGATATCATTGCTGATGTCAGATGGATCCTGGATCAAAGCAGAGAATACCAAATGAATGTCTATTTGTGCTTTACTGACTATGAAAAAGCATTTGACTGTGTGGATCACAACAAATTATGGCTAACATTGAGAAGAATGGTATTCCTAGAACACTTACTTGTGCTCGTGTGAAACCTATCCCTAAAGAAAGAGATTGTACAAACAGAGCAAGAAAACACTATATGGTTTAAAATTAAGAAATGTGTATCAAGGGTGTATTATGTCTTCATGTGTATTCAGTCTGTGTGTTAAGAAAAATTTTCTAGAAGTGGGATTCTATGAAGAAGAATGTGGTATCGGAATCAGGGGAAGACTCATCAGCAGTCTACATTATGCAGATGATACAAACTTGCTTGCTGAAGATGGGGAGTACTTACTTGAAGCATTTGTTGCAGAAGATCAAAGACTTCAATATGAATTATATTCCAGTATCAAGGGGGGGGTAATCTCATCCCTGGATCAATATGCAACATCATAATAGATGAGGAATGACTTCATCTAAATTGGATCCACAATCAACACCTTTGGTACCAGCAGTCAGAAGATCAAGAAATGTATTGCACTGGGAAAATCTTCTGTCAGGGACCTCTCCAAAATACTAAGGAGCAATGCTATCAGTTTGAAGAGTAAGGTGCACTTGGTTCAGAACATGGTCTTTTCAATCACCTGCTATGCATCTGGGAGCTGGGCAATGAATAAAGATGACAGAAGAAAAGGTGATGCCTTTGAGCTGTGGTGGTGAAGAAAGTGCAGCTTCAGTGCTCCTTGTAAGCAAAGATGACAAACTTCGTCTCACATATTTCAGGCTTAGCTGGGAGACTATATTCCTTGGATAACAGTATCATGCTTGGAAAGGTGGAGGGGCAGTGAAAGAAAGAAAACCTTTAACCAGATGGATTGACACAGTCATTGCTGTAGTTGAATCAAGAATGTCAGAAATTATATGAGGATGGCACAGGATAGGACAGAGTTCAGACTGTTCATAGAGTCACTATGAATTGAATTCAACTTGAAAACACCTAACAACAATAAATCCAATGGATGGTCAGTTTTGACTATCAGTTCCAACTCAGCAGCAATGAGTGGTGGTAAGTGGTTACCTTGAAAATGGACTTGAGAGTGGTTCCCTTGAGAAGGGCCTCATTCTAACCAATGTGTACAGGCACAATAAACCCTTGTATAAACCTAAGAATTATTTTGTTTTCAGGGGAAGCTTATTATAATTTCCTTACCATGATTTTATCAAAGAGTTTTTATACTTTCAAAACAAATTTACAGAATCACAGATTCTGCAGGTTATGGAAAAAATCAGTTTAGGGAACTCCTAAAGTTAGGCACAAATATAGAGATATGCTCATTGTAAGAGAAGGAAGAACAATGTGGACAAGGTGGAGAAGGCCCAGTTTGACCATTATTAACTCCACAAAAGGGAATGTCCCATCCATAGCACCTACAGTACCAAACAGATAACTAGAAGGTCAGATATTATCCCTACACTTCTGCATCTACTTCTGCAATCACTGGTTTTTTGCAAATTGACTCACAGACTTGACTTTACTCACAGTTGTTGGATTTATTAAAACAGATTGGGAGTGGGGGAAGCAAAAGGTATCACACAGTGAAATGCCAGGTTTAGTCCAGCAGTCCCAAACCAGATCAACAAGAAGATATAATTCTTCAATTTGTTCAAACGGCTTCTCAGTTAACAAGTTAAAGTCTAGGTCTAGTCTAGCAACACAAATGCGAGAAGTCTTTGGTTTTCTCAATCTTCCAGCAAGCTTTGTCTCATAGCAGTCACAAGTCAGCTCTTCCTTTAATTGTCCAGCAAGCAGAACCTTTGAATCCATCTCCAGGGCGCATCAGGCTACTCCTTCCCACAGCATCTCTACAGTCGAATTAGCTTTCTCTCTCTTATGTCAGCCTCATAGCTGTGATGATGTTGAAGATGGGTGAACTATGTGTCTGCAGTTGAGGCAGCTGGAGACCATGCTCCCAGGAGAAGCAATTGATATAAAAATCATTTTCAAGAGTTCTAGCACCACAATCATTTTAAGTAATGTTAACTTTGGTAACTTTATTAATCTTTTTCTGCTTAGGACTCCTCTCTGCTTCTGCAGTCAACTCAGAATGTGACCTTGAATGCCCGCAACTCTGAAGGAGAGGTCACGGGCAGGCTAAAAGTCGGTGAGTCTCATTTAATCAAAGTGCTTTTGCAAGTGTGTGCTCTGCTCGCAGTTGTGTTTAATGAAATAAATTAGACTTTCCTCTAAACAAGTTACATTTGTTTATGAACAAGAAAATATGAATGTTCTAAATATCATGCTGTAACTATCACCACAAGAAACAGTCTGGAATATTTCAAGTAAAGTTCTTTTGGTCCCAAGTAATACAGAGCCATTCAGGAGAATCTCACATGCTGTTGTTGTTGTGTGCCGTTGAGCTGGAACTGACCCATAGCTGACTCTCCTTCACTGGATTTTCAGACGCAGTAAATTGCACGGGAGGAAATTACCCATCCTTCTCCCACAGATCAGCTGGTGGATTCAAACCACATGACTTTGAGATTGCAGTGCAGCTTCTTACCACTAGGCTACCAGTCCCTCCCCGCCCCCCCCCCCACCCCCCGCCCCAAGACTAAGGAACAGGGAGTGATGTCTATTTGGTCTCAAGAGAGCGAAGATCAGGAGCTGGGAGCCAACAATGTGTGTTTACTCTCATTTTCTCTCACTATGTTGCGTTTCTCACTCTTTCCACTTTCTTTCCTCTCCCCTTTTTCTTTCCTCCCCTTACCTCTCCTCTTTTTTCCCCTCTTCTCTCCTTCTCTCTTCTCTTTTCCTTTCCCCATTTCATCCCCTTTTCTCACATACGCTACTCTCTTTTAAAGGTTATCATTCTGCTTGTTCAAATATACAAGCATAATATAGCTGCTGCATTTGTTCTACTGCTTCATAATTTAGTTGACATCATAGTTCTTAGTTTGGTGGCTAGAGTTCCCAAAACCAATAACACTAGCCTTCAGCTTTGCTAATTCTCTACTGTTCTTATTAATCATTCTGCTGAAATTAGTAACAGCCTAGATAGAAGAAGTCTCGAGTCAATGTAGTCTCAAATGCTGAACCAGCTGTATAAGTCTTTGATTTCTAACATTAACTGCTCCATTTATGGCTCAGTTCCCCAATTCTTCTATAGTCCATGGGATTTGATAGTTCACTAGAAGGTCCGCCAGAGACTTAGAGCCATCAGGGGAATGACTCATGTGACCATGAGCAATGGGCCGACCTGAATGCAACTGGATGCTTAGGTTTGGTTTACACAGTTATGGTGCCGCTCCTGTGTTAGTGTTTTCACCTACCCACACAGTGTGGACAGTGCTCTCTGTCCACATTGTTGATGATTTGCAAGAGCTCGTGTCCACGGTTAAGGTAGCTGGATATCATTCCCCTATGGGAGCTAGGAAAATCAACTCTCGACATTTCTGGCACTATATCAACAAAGTACTCTAATTAGCTCTACTTATGCTTTTAATGAACAACCCTTGAATCAGGTATAGATTCTTCCTCCAGTCAGATACAGTCACATAAAAGTGAGGCCACATGAAATCTAACAGGTGACTAGAAAAATTGAAAGGCCATAAAAATGCCTTATACAGAGATAGAAGAAAGAATAGAAAGAGATCTACAAACTAGCTGATAAAGTGAATCTGCACATATTCTGTATAGTCAACCATTCTATAGATTTTTTCTAAACCTAAGACTATGGATGGTTCTTCTGATTATGGGTAAATAGATGAGAATTGCCTTACTAATACAACTGGTAACTTTTAATGTATATGTTTTTAATGAATATTTTCAAAAAGAAGAAGAATGTTATAAAAATGTTATGGAAGAAGGTGTGGAACCTACACACCTAAATCTATTATTGTCAGGTTGAGTTAGTTCCACCTCAGGAAGATGAGTTGGGTTTTTGAAAGCTATGCACATTTATGGGAGGAGAGTTCTCATCATTCTCATGAGAAGCTGCTGATGGATTAAAACTGCTGAGTTATGGTTAGCAGCTCAATATGTTAAACATGTTACCAGCACGCCTACATTTTAGTGCTTGTGTTTTCTGGTAATTGGAAAAAAAAAATGGAATAATGTTGCATTGGAAACTACAGCCTTCTATTTACCCAATGATTCTTTTTTTGTGTTAACACAAGGTATTCCATATTGTATTATCTGTGTTAATCTTTATAACTTAATGTAAAAATCCAGCTACATTTCTCTGTTACTTAGAGGGGTTTTTTAAATCAATTCTGTCCATTGAAATCTTCAGTGTATTTAGAGTGAAGTAGTATATGCAGTAAAAAAAGTTCTTGAAACCTGCCCAAATCAATTAACTGTGTTAATAAAGTATGTAGTAGTTTATTTATCTGGACTTCACTTTCTTAAAACTTTCTAGAGTATCTTTTAAAGGTTGAGTTTTGTCCATTTCCCCCCATTCATTTAACATTAATTGACTATCATATGTTTTTACCACCAGTTTATCTTACTATGATGCTTGCATGTTGCTTTGATGTTGGAAGCCATGTCACTAGTATTTTCAAATATCAGCAAAGTCACCTGGTCGACAGGTTTCAATGGAACTTCAGACAGATATAGATGAAGAAGAAGGGCCTGAAAAATTACCCAGTGAAAACCTGTGGTTACCAAAGGAATATTGTTAGATATAGTGTTAGACTATGAGTCCCCCCAAATTGATAAGCACTCAAAATATGACTAAGGAAGAGCTGCCTCCTCCATGCAGAGTCCTCTTTAATGACATGGATGGAGGAAGACCTTTAAGATCTTCATTTCCTGATGTTGGATGGCTCAAAATGAGAAGTAACAGCAGCAAACATCCTTAGTAAGTGGTACATATAGAATAGAAACTAATGAAGATCAGAGGTTATAAAAAAATGGAACACTTAAAGTTCACTGTCTCAGTCAATGAAATGAACTGGTATTAGCCATTTTTAATCTGATCATTATATAGTCCTAGGCAAAGAAGGAAAAACTGAAGAGCACTGGATTCATGGTCAAGAATATGTTAAAGTCTATACTAAAGCACTATGTTTTTGTTGTTCAGAACCATCAAGTTGGTTCTAATTCATAGTGCCCTCAAAACATGCTAAGTCCATGTTAGAACCCATTGTTTCAGCCTCTGCATTGAACAATCTATTTGAGGATCTTTCTTTTTTTTGCTGACTGAGCTTGATGTCTTTATCATGTTATTGGCCCCTCCCGATAACATGTACAAAGTATGTGAGAGAGAAACTCACCATCCTTGCTCCTAAGAAGCATTCTGGCTGCACTTCTTTGTTACCTAACAAAGGTTACTGTTTTGGAAGTCCATGGTTCATTCACTATTCTTCACTGGTACTAAAACTAAGGGTATAAATGAGGAATGTCTGGAATCCACTTAGAGCTGAGTGCATGAATGAAAAGAATCAGGAACTAAGTGAGATCTCAAATCTCTTGAGAGCTCTGGATTGCCCAGAAGCTGGCATGTGGCAAGCATCCACTAAATAGTTCCTCAGTGAATCAATGATGCTCATGTCATGGGATTAACCTTTAAAAAAAAAGGTTAAATAAAGCTTTAAAAAGGCTTAAATAAAGGATCTTTGATCACTGAAAAGAGGAATGAAGAAAACAAAAGTGTGGGTCTGACATCAGGTTTGGGGTAAAACTGAGAAAAAACTGGATACTTATGTATACTGTATTGAAACAGATGAGGGGAAAAAACAGATTAGAGATAATATATGATTAAGTATTATGGTTAACATAGGAATCCAGAATTAAGGTTGCATAGAGAAGTGTACTCAGGGTGGGGGGTGGAGGGGAAGGTATAGGGGAATTGTATACCAATGAAGGAATTTTTTTTCTATCTTTTCCTTATTGGAGAGGGGAGTGAAGTGGTGGGGAGGGGTGGGCAGGGAGAAAAGTGTGGCAATGAATGAATGGAAATCCAAAATCTCTGTAAATGTTTATTAAAATTAATTTTAAAAAAAGAAAACAAAAGTGTGTTAGGTAATAGGAAAAGCAGAAGCTAGAGAGTGGTTTTTACATGGATGTTTCTGTCTATCTCAATGGTATAAAAGGTGAAAATCTCTTCTAAGAATACAGGCAGAAGAACGAGTATGAGAACTATCCATCTTCTGGGTTAGCTTTAGTAATTAAAGTGAGCCATTAATAAAATGATCATACTCAAGTCTCAAATTTCAGGATTCAAAATCCTTCTATTACTAACACTCAAAAGAATGAATTTATTTGAGTAGAAAAATTATGTTACTTTTGGGAAGTTTTACAAGCATGAAAAAGTAACATTTTCAGAACCATTTCTTCACATGTGTATTTTATATAAAAAGTTCTGGTGGCATAGTACTTTACATGTTGTATTTCATAACATGCCGAACTACTAATCAGAAGGTTAGCAGTTTCAATCTATCAGCTGTCTGCTCCTCAGAAGAAAAATGGGCAGTCTTCTTCCATGAATATTTGCAGCCCCAGAACAAAATAGAAGGTTACCAAGAGCCAGGATGAACTTCGATGGAATCGATGCTTTTGAGCTATGTTGCTGGAGAAGAGTGTTGAACATACCATGGACAGCCAAATCTGTCTTAGAGACAGTGAAACTAAGTTTCTCCTTAGAGGCACAGGTTTTGAACCTCAATCTCACATACTTTGGGCAAGTGGCCCACAGGAACCAATCCTTGGAGAAGGACATCATGCTTGGAAGGGTATAGGGACAGCATAGGAGAGGGAGACCCTGCATGAGATGGATTGATACAGTAACTAGGGTAATGAGGGTAGATGTATTGGAGTTAGTGAGACTGGCTCAGAACAGGGCAGGGTTCAAAGCTATTGTACATAGAGTGGTTATGAGTCACAAACGACTCAATGGAACATAACAGTAATAATTTTGGGTTTTAATTTATGACATTCACTAATAAGATTACTAACATTGCCTACAAATTCTAAATACTTAGCAACTTAAAAATAGATATTTGAAAAACTGCACAGAGTGTATGTACCCTTTATAATGAACTGTTTGAATCAATCCCACAGGTCCAAAATTGGTTGAAGTTCAAAGTCAACAGTTTCAAATCAACTCTAAGCAAGGCAAACCACTGTTCACAGTTGATGAAAAGGAAGTTGTAGTTGGTACAGATAGACTTCGAGTGACTGGTACGTAATCATAAGTAAGAAAATCAACACCCCCGTAGAGTACACGTCTAGAAAAGCAAATGTGCTTCTGGCAAATGTTTTCTTCAATCATCTAGATCAATAAGAAAAATCCATTTAACTGCATTGCCTCTTCTCTTTTGAGATTCTTCCATATGCCTCAGAAGACAGAAATCCTTCTCATGTATCTTTCCTCACTCTTTTCTTCCACCATAGTGCTTCCCTCTGCCCCTTTCCAATTACTTTAAGTCAAAGATTTAGCATATGGCCTCTCTCAGCCACACAGTCCAAATACCTATCTTTCATATGACACCTGCGCAATAGTCTCCTTGTGGGTTCCTTTTATTCTCATGATACCCAGGTTCTTGGATTCTTGAATTGCCTACATTTCTACAAAACCTTTTCTCTCTTGGAACTAAATACTGACTAGTATTCTGATGGGCTCATTTTAAGACTGAAAAGATATTTTAGTTAGGAGGGGAGTATTTTCAGTGCACATTCCAAATTCACTTGCTGAGATTTTATGTGAAATGTATAGACTATGAACAGTCAGATACTTATTAAATCCATCTTAGCCCTTTCCAATATCATTCCAGTATCAGAAACCACTGTAACTTTCCTTCCCTACAAATGTCCTCAAATAAAAATACCGTGTCTTCTTCTGTAAAAAGAGTTTTGTGTAACAGTCAATTCTAAGCAAAGCAAACTATAAAATAATTAACTAATTAATCTTGACCTGGAGGATTTTTTATGGAGTCCATAGCATGCTGCACAGGTCACACATCTCTAGCAGTTTGAAACTGCCAGTGACTCTGTAGAAGCAAAATGAGGCTGTTAAGGTTTACAGCCTTAGAAATCAAGTGGAGAGTCAGTATCTGTCAGAATGGGCTCAACACTAGTGAATGAGTGACTCTTGACACACATTCTAAGGCAACAGTGGCCCTGGTCTTCTAACTAAAATAAAAGACACTGTGAAACTCTAAGGAGCTCTGCTAGTGACCTGAGTAATGTATGGAGCTGTTAACTAAAAGTTCAGTGGTTCAAGTCCACCACCTACTCTTAGGGAGGAAGATGGACAGTCTCCTCTTGTAATGATTTATAGCCTCAGAAGCCTGAAAAATGGTCGTCATGAGTCAGAATTGACTTGATGGAAGCAGGTTGGGTTTTTAGGCTATGAAACTTAAGAAAATTGCCAATTGCCTAGAGAGGAAAGGGCCAGGTTGGCCAAATGCTTTAATCCATCAGAAGAAATCCCCTGAGGTTAATTTTTATAATAGGGGCCTTATAAATGTAAGCTGCTCTCACCTTAACAGTTATTCACTGAATGACTTGAGGCAAGGTCCTCAATGTCTCCTAGCTCTTTCCTCACTTACAAAACAGATCCTTAATTTCTGCTTTACCCTACAGTCAACAAGAGGCATGCAAAAGAGAGCAAGGTCCTTGGTAAAGTAGAGTGTTAGTTGCCCTTCGGAGCAATAAGAACAGCAGGAAAAAGAATTTAAGCAAGAATGTAGAATGTTTCAAATCCAAGTCAACCTACACAAGACACTGATAAAGTGAGGGCCTACTTTTTTTTTCCTATCTTGAGTGCCTAGCATATTATGGTGACAAATAGAAGACAAGAAGACAACCTGCATTTCTACCAAGCTCCCAGGTGATGCTGATGCAGCCAGTCTAGGCAATGCACTTTGACAATTATTGCTCTGCCTTGACTTTATCCCAGGAGGGGATAGAGTGGAGAACAACATCCATAAGTTCTCACTGGCACACACGTTCAAGTTAACCTTGTTACAGATAAGTCATGAGGTTCCCTTTCATAACATGTCTTCACAGAAAGCATCGATCTTTCCCAAAAATCCTCCTGGTCCCCAGGGACACTAACTAGAACATCTAATTACTGTGTTGTGATCTGGATCTCTTCCCTCATCATATTCTATCACAGTAAGTTAGTTGTACTTATTGTTACCAGGGGAATCATGAGCAGTGAATGTTCTGAACTGTACAATTTAGACCCAGATATTATTTCTTCTCAGTTTTCCAGTACAAATAGCTCCTGGTTTATGATGGGGTTCTGTTTACAATATGCCATTTCAAAATTGTCATTGTTACTACCTTTTTAAATCTGTACCTTTAGAGACTATAGGGTTGAATAATCTTCAAGAGAGCATCTGAGAATGGTAACACTGGCAGCATAGTACATATTATTAATGATAAGATGTTAAAAAAAAAGGAACTCAAACTAAAATACCAGGTAGTCATAAGTTCGATTCTTCCTCATTTGAATAAAATTTGGGTATATCTGTGTGTTCTTGGCTCCCCCAAATCTTGTGACTAAAGAAACACAAGGCTCCAATCTTAATGCTAACCCTTCTCTCTCCTTGCTCTATTTCTCTAGAGAGATCTGACACACTCTCTACATTATCTAACTCGAGATTTCTCAGTTCTGCACTACTGATAATTTGGCCCGAGTGATCTTCACTGCAGGGTTGTCCTCTGCTTTGGAGGACATTTAGCAGCGTCCCTGGCCTCTGTGAACTAGAAGTCCTGAGCAATTCACCTTCTAGTCCCCAGATGTGATAATCAAAAAATGCATCCAGACATTGTCACAAATCCCTTGGGGAGTCTTCCTGAACTGCTGACCTACAGAGCTGTGAGCTTATAAACCAAAATAAACTACTACCTTTGAGCTAATTCCAACTCACGATGACCTTCCATCAGCTCCCCAAGTTGTAATCTCTTGCAGAAAGCTTTGACAACGGCTGTATTTACTCTACTTATTTATAGTAGGTAAGTCTGGTAGTGCAGTTGAGCAGCTAACTGAAAGACCAGCAGTTCAAATCCACTAAAGAAGAAAGATAGGCAATCTACTCTTGTAGAGATTTATAGCATCAGAAACTGACAGTTTCTCTGCATTTGAATTTACTCTATTATAGTAAATAAGTCTTTTGCAATTGTTGCCAGCAATAGAAATTATAAACTACTTGCTGCAAAAGATCAAAGACTACAGGCTTCAGTATTATGGATTGCATCTCAACATCAAGAAAACAAATATCCTTACTACTAGGACCTCTCTAAAGTACTCAAGAGCAACGGTGTCTCTCTGGAGACTAAGGTGCACCTGATACAGGCCATGGTTTTTGCAATCACTTGTTATGCATCAGAGAGTTGGACAATGACTAGGGAGGATAGAAGGAGAATTGATGCCTTTGAGCTGTGGTGCTGGAGAAGAGTATTGAATGTACCATGGACTACCAAGAAAACAAACAGGTTCATCCTAGAGAGGATTAAACCAGGCTACTCCTTGGAGGCAAGGATTCTGGCTGGGGCTTCGCCTGACATACTTTGGACATGTTGTAAAGAGAGACAGGTCTTTAGAGAGGAACATCATGCTGGGTAGAGTGGAGGGACAGGGCAGGAGGGGAAGACCCTCTATGAGGTGGATTGATTCAGTGACTGGGGTAATCAGGATGGGTGTGTCAGAGGCAGTGGGATTGGCACGGGATAGAGCAGGGTTTAGGGCTGTTGTACATAGGGTCGCTATGAGTCGCAAACGACTCGACGGCACATAGCAACAACAACAACTAGGACAATTGGCAACATCATAATAGATGGAGAAAACATTTAAATTGTCAACATCTTACTCATACCCACAATATTGGTACCAGTAGTCAATAAATGGAAAGACATGTTGCATTGGGGAAATACGCTGTCAGGGGCATCTCCAAAGTGCTAAAGAGAAACAGAGACAGTGTAAAGACTAAGATGCAGCTGATCATTCATAGTCATAGTCTTTTCAATTACTTGCTCGTAATCTGAATGTTAGATAACAACTAAGGATGACAGAAGAAGAATCAATGCTGTTGAGTTATTGTTTTAGGGAAGAGTCCTGAACACCCTTGGGGTCTCCAAAAGAAACAAATCAATATATATGTTTTGGGAAAGTGCAACCAGGATGTGCCTTCAAGACCAAAGATTGTGACATATCATCTCACATACTGTCGACATGTTAGGAGGGCCCCCATCCTTGGAAAAAAAGCCATCATGTTTGGAACTGTGAAGGGTCAGCAGAAGATATGAAGAACCCCTCAACCAGAAGAACTGACACAGTGACTGTAACAATGGGCTCAAATATGTCCAAGTGGACGAAGATGGCACAGGAAAAGTCAGGGATCAGATCCATCATTCACGGGGTCACTATGACTCATAGTTGACTCAATGGCACCTAAAACAATGACATGGTGAACATACAATTCTTACTATTTTAGGAAAATTATACCTCAAACAAATCTTAATTTATTCTTTATTTCATATCATTTGATAAAACAATAAAAAATCAAACATACCACCATGGAGGGAGTTCTGATCCACAGCATCCCTCAATCAAGCTTCTGCGGCTGTAAATCATAACTGGAGGGCACTGCCCATTTTCTCCCAAGGAGACACTGGTGGATTCACTGCAATGGAGATGCCTAGTACTTGGAATTTCAGCAAAACACACTATAGACTGTGCCACCAGACCATAGGGTTTTATAATAACTGTAAAAAACAACGATAATATTTAATCTTTCAAGGAAACACCATCAGATCCTCCTCAAAGAGACCTCACAATTTCTGTCAAGTTATTTTCAACCTGGGAAACACTACATGTGTCAGCACAGAACTGTGCCCCATAGAGTTTTCAGTGGCTGAGTTCTTTAGAGTCAACTGCTAGTTCTTTCTCCCAAGGTACCCCTGGGAGAACACTAACCTTACCATTAGTAGTTAGCAGCTGAGTGCATGAAATATTCACACCTCCTGTAAATTCCTCTTTCCAAATAAAGTCTCATCCTAATTTTCTTTCATATAAATGGTTGATCCTGTATGGGAAAATGGACTCAAAGTGTCCTATCTTTTCATTGTGGACATCAGAAGGGTTTTCTAAAGAATCACCATGACATCCTGTAAATGCAGGAATTCTTGGCTGAAAAGTGAAGGCAAAGCATGCAAAGAGGAAGTGATTGGAA